CTGAAACATTTTTTCATATATCATTTTAATCATTTTACTTTCTGCTTAATATTATTTAAATGTAAAAGATTTAAATGTAAGATCATTAAATAATTTTATGATCAATCGTGAAAAAACTATTTTTACTGTAAATTCAGTCATTTCTTTTTTAGCATATATTTCTCTAAATTACGTAGCAAATTTATTATACCAAATAAAAATAAAATAATATTTACTTGTATATTATTAATTTTAATATTAAGGTAAGGTAAAGTTTGCAGTGATAGCTTTGTCTCTTATAATTAAAAATTGTTTTGTAAATCAGTTAAGATTTCTTAATAGACCTATAGTTCTATTTTTATGTACTGTAAACCGAGTCATCAACTCGCGGAGTATTTAAATGGCAGTCTGAATTGTCCTAGATGCTATTCGGAATTTGGGAATATTTCGGGAACTTTGGAAGCTCTCGTTCGTTTGTCTCGAAAGTTGTCTCGTTTACCGGCATCGATGTCACTCGCATGCCACGCGTGCCACGCGATCCATGAGTTCGAGAAAATCGTCATTACGTGTCATCATACGAAATCGCTAATAATCGATTCCATTGAATAATCGAATAATAAAAAAGAAGAACAGGAATATTAATATATTTTATTTAATTTTAAATCAATTGTTAATTTGTATGTGCATCTATAAATAAAGAGAAGTAACTATTGTTGAATTAAATTTCAAGAATGCAAACATATCTGCAATATCATATTTTCTAATTAATTTCGAGTGGTCTATTCTAATAAAATTTTAATTAAAGATTAATAAAAAGAGAAGATATATATACTGAGAGAAAAGTTTTTTTAGTATTTGTGACTATAATTATGGTTGATAAAATAATTATGGCAAGGAGTTTAATTTTTATTGTTATTACTGCTATAATATTAATATAATAATTATATTTCTATATTAAGAAGAATATAATAGTGTCTCCAAAAACGACTATAATTTATATTCTTTGCGATATAAAAATATGAATAACTATAATTAACTATATATAAATATAATTATTTTTATTAATATATGATATTATAGCAATAATAATTATAAAAGTAAAGCTTTCGATCATAATTATTTTACATAAATTATGATCACAAATACCAAAAACTTTTCTCTGAGTACAGGATGTTAAAAATTGAAAAATATAAATTTAGAACATTTTCAATATAAATTTTTTTTAATGTTAAAATAATCTGAGTTTTAAATTTTACCCGAAAAGTCTATTGTTAGACGCTGATATATTCATATTCAACAGAGAATTTGACTATCCAATATCTATGTTCCTTAATGGGACATTGATAAGATATATCAAATTTAAAAAAAGAGCAATAGAAGTCAACTCGAAGCGAACAGGGGAATCAGATCAGCTGATTCAATGTAGACCTTTCTCGTTTCATCGTTCTTCGTCCTTCTTGCCTTTCTCTCTCGTTTTCTCCTGCCGATGACCATCGCGGTGACAACCCCACCCGCGGTAT